GACTGGTGGACTTCACAAAATAGATGGCATCATGATGTGGATATATTGAAGCAACATCTCAAGACATCAGTCAGGAAGTTAAAGCTTGGTCGCAAATGAGTCTTCCAAATGGACAATGACCCCAAGCATACTTCCAAAGTTGTGGCAAAATGGCTTAAGGACAACAAAGTCAAGGTATTGGAGTGGCCATCACAAAGCCCTGACCTCAATCCTATAGAAATGTTGTGGGCAGAACTGAAAAAGCATGTGCGAGCACAGAGGCCTACAAACCTGACTCAGTTACACCAGCTCTGTCAGGAGGAATGGGCCAAAATTCACCCAACTTATTGTGGGAAGCTTGTGGAAGGCTACCCAAAACGTTTGACCGAAGTTAAACAATTTAAAGGCAATGCTACCAAATACTAATTGAGTTTATGTAAACTTCTGACCCACTGGGAATGTGATGAAAGAAATAAAAGCTGAAATAAATCATTCTCTCTACTTCGGACATTTCATATTCTTAAAATAAAGTGGTCATCCTAACTGACCTAAGACAGTGGATTTTTACTAGGATTAAATGTCAGGAATTGTGAAAAACTGAGTTTAAATGTATTTGGCTAAGGTGTATGTAAACGTCCGACTTCAACTGTATACAGTGGGGAGAACAAGTATTTGATACACTGCCGATTTTGCAGGTTTTCCTACTTACAAAGCATGTAAGTCTTACACAGTCTGTAATTTTTATCATAGGTACACTTCAACTGTGAGAGACGGAATCTAAAACAAAAATCCAGAAAATCACATTGTATGATTTTTAAGTAATTAATTTGCATTTTATTGAATGACATAAGTATTTGATACATCAGAAAAGCAGAACTTAATATTTGGTGCAGAACCTTTGTTTGCAATTACAGAGATCATACGTTTCCTGTAGGTCTTGACCAGGTTTGCACACACTGCAGCAGTTTGTTTAGTGTGTTCCAATTTTCCCAGAAGTGGTTAGATTCTATGGATTCTTCAATTACATTGAAGATTTCTGACGTGCTTTTCTTTCTTTTTGTGTAGTGTATTTCTGTATTGTTTTAGTGATTCACCATAGTGAAGGTGTAAACTCAGGTTTTCTGGATCTCTATGTTTTTGGTTGTATAGGTTTCTCAATTTCTTTCTTAGGTTTTTGCATTCTTCATCAAACCATTTGTCATTGTTATTAATTTTCTTAGGTTGTCTGCTTGAAATATTTAGATTTGATAGGGAAGCTGAAAGGTCTGTTTAGACTTTCTACTGTGAAGTTTACATCTTCACTATTACAGTGAAATGTTTTGTCCAGGAAGTTGTCTAAAAGGGATTGAATTTGTTGTTGCCTAATTGTTTTTTGGTAGGTTTCTACACTACTTTCCTTTCATCTATAGCATTTCTTAATATTGTGCAGTTCCTTTGGTCAAATCAAATGTTATTGGTCACATACACATATTTAGCAGATGTTATTGTGGGTGTAGTAAAATGCTTGATGCCTCATGATTTGAGTATTGTTCTGTTCAGGTAGACTGTGATTTTTGCTGTGATCTGATAGAGATGTTAGAGGGCTGACTGTGAACGCTCTGAGAGACTCTGGGTTGAGGTCAGTGATAAAGTAATCTACAGTACTACTGCCAAGGGATGAGCTGTAGGTGTACCTACCATAGGAGTCTCCTCATAGCCTACCATTGACTATGTACAGACCCAGCGTGAGACAGCTGCAGGAGTTGTGACCCATTTTTGTTGGTTGTTTTGTCCTAGTTGTGTCTAGGGGGGCATATTTGGGAGGGAATACTGTCACCTCCAGGTAGGTGTTTGTCCCCCTGTGTGCTGAGAGTGTCAGGTTCTTGTCCAGTTCTGGCATTTAGGTCGCCACAGACTAGTACATGTCCCTGAGCCTGGAAATGGTTGATCTCACCCTCTAGGATGGAGAAGCTGTCATCGTTAAAGTATTGGGATTCTATTGGGGGGATATAGGTAGCACACATGAGGACATTTTTCTCTGTTGAGATCATTTCCTTATTAATTTCTAGCCAGATGTAAAATGTTCCTGTTTTTACTAATTTAACAGAGTCGGTTAGGTCTGCTCTATACCAAATTAGCATACCCCCTGAGTCTGCTCTGCTCACGGCCTGGGCATATGAGCGGCTGTCATGTTGAGGTCCTTGCTGCAGGGGGCGGGGGGACATGGGGGGGGGGGGGGGGGGGGGGGGCATAAGGGGCATAGGTCTGATCTGGGGGGGCCTGTATAGAGTGTGGACAGGGTTTGTTTGGGGTGGTCTCAGCTGGTTGGGGTGTGGCTGGTGAAGCTGTGGTCTGGGTGTAGGTCCTCTTGGCGTGGATTCTCTCGGTGCTTGCGTTCACCCGCTGTATGGTGGCAAGGTGAATGTATTTTCGTGGTAGCAGGGTGGAGATAACCACTTGTGCGTTGGGGAAAGCTTTTTCAATCACTCCCTTGAGTGCTGTGGCCACCCTTTCCTGCTGGGCCCTCAGGTCGTTTGTGCCCGTGTGAATTATAATGTGGCTGGGGGACCCTAGTCTGTCCTCTGATAACAGCTCCAGGGCATGCCTAGTGTTTGGGCACCAGAGTTTAGCCACTTTGTGCTCTCTCTCAGATTCGGGTTTGTTCAAGACAAGTTTTCTGCCTCTGCTTTCAACTTTCCATCAGAGAACAAGCCCCAATACATCCAAGCAACACGTAGGCACATAATAGAACAGAGATGAGCATGATTTCTAATTCTGTCAGAAACATTTTTTTCTATATGCCCTTTGTTACCTTTAACATCCTCCCTCACACTGTACTGTTCTCCTTCCCCTCTCTTTCTGTCTCTCTGTCCTCCCTGCTCTCTCTCGCTCTATAGGCACAGTGTTCCTCCAGCTGCCCTACTCCAAGAGGAAGTATTGTAGCGGGCAGCAGCGGAGGAGGAGGAGGAGTTCAACAGCATCAGCCAGTCAGGGCCTGTTTGGCTCGGAGGAGCTGGTGGGTTACTACTGGGCCTACAACACCATGCTGACCAAGGCCTGGAGGACGGCCGTGCTTGGGGACGAGAAGCTGGCTGACCGCCTGCTCAGAGACTTCACTGACTTCTGCGCCAACAAAGACAAGAGGCTGGTCAACTTTTGGGACAGCTGCCGGGAGAAAATTAATGCTAGTGTGCCGTGATGGAGAGGGGGAAGTGAGGTGAAACTGAGAAAGATGACACTGACACCTCTTGAAATGGGGATGTACTATATGAAATGAGTCTGCATTGGCTGCAGTGTTGAGGTTTGTGGGAAGAATTATCATCAAGAACCCCTTGTATATGTGTGCTGTGTCCCCCTCTGTGGCAGCACTTGTGCCTTGCATCTAGGTCAATGTTCGCCCAAGATGTACTCTTAAGGAGTGTACCGTTACTCCTTGAGGTCCAAGAACCTTATGTTATTTTCAGAGGTATACTGGCTCTGGCATCCGAAAGAGCCAAATACTCCATTTAAACAACAAGAGGCTGCTGAGGGGTGAACAGCTCATATTAATGTCTGGAATGGAGTGAATAGAATGGTATCAAACACATAGAAACCATGTGTTTGTATTCAATACCATTCCATTTATTCCGTTCCAGCCATAACTATGAGCCCGACCTTCCCAATTAAGCTGCCACCGGCCGCCAGTGATCTAAATGTGAATCGATTCTCATTTACGATAAGGTTCTAGAAACATAAAGCCTATTACTTTCATATCACAAAATAATTTCATAAATGCAAAATATACACTTACTGTACACTGTTTTAACCGGCTTTATCAAAGTTGCAGCTGCCAATATTTTTCAGTGACAACACGTTTCTGCCGGCCTTCGGATCATGCTAGATAGCCAATTAGCACAGGTCTTCTGTCTGTCTTCTGTAAATATGTGCTGTAAAATGGAGATATGGCAGTGTGGGAACCCTAACCCTATAAAGGTGTGTATCAATTTAACCTTTTGTTTTTTGAAAATTATTTATTGCTGATATGTAAGGTCCTTATGCTTCCAAAACCATACTGCTAGCTATTTTTTATTGTAGTTAACCCTAGGTTTAGCGGAATTGCCAACAACCGGATGCATCTAGTTTTCAAGGATACAGCTAATTCAACCTAGCTTCGTAAATTCTCCTAACCGGCTATGTCAATTTTGACAAAAGCTGTTTCCCTTCTAGACTAAACCAAGTTACAGAGAGGATGGAATGGGAAGTGTTTTCCTTTTAAGGATGAAGGAGGGAATGATTGTGAGCAACACGGAGGTCTTCTGCAACTTTCAATGACGTGTGCACATTACAATGGTTGACATAAGTGCCAACATAGGTACCATTACTCCCCTATCATGGCTTTGGGACTGGGCAGATGTGAGTAAAGGCATTGCTTTTGTTCTCCTCTCCGTCATATGTTTGTAAGCATTCCTTCCATGTCCATACTATATGTGAGGACTGGAGAGGTCACACTTGCTAGCACCAACCACTAATATACAGATAATTGGCACCAACCCTACACGCACGCGCCCTCAGTTGCTGCTAGAGATCGAGGATGCAGTACATCGCACTGCGCAGATGCACGCCTGCAGCGTACGTTTCTATTTGTAGAAAGTGACGTCACCATGAAATATCAGCGGCAGCCTTCCGCCAGCACACCCCTTCACCGGATAGACTGGATTGACAGGACGCTTACAGCAGCACCCCAGGCCGCAGTAGCTAGCTAGCCAGCATCAGGTAGAGATAAAGAGGGTTTGGAGCGAGGGTTGGGAGGTTGTCACTGATTGTCTCACTTCTAATTTGCGCCTTAGACAGTAACATTAACATAATTGCTTCACCATTGTTTTAGCTAGGTCGTATGTAAGCGGGTATTTCGGAGAAAATCCGCAGTGACGTTTGATGTGCTGTTTGTAGCGTTGGACATCAGCAGGAAAATACATATCGGTGTATTCGAAAGCAATCGTCGACAGCCTGCCTCACTGTATCGTGGAACTGACTCCCTGACCTTCGGCACATCAACAGCGAGGATGGCAGATAGAGAGCAGCTAATCCAGAGAGCCCGTATGGCTGAGCAGGCGGAACGGTACGATGACATGGCCTCGGCGATGAAACAGGTAGAGACGTCATTGTTCTAATGCATCTCACTTGAAATAATTACTTAATGTGACAATCATTGATATCAGTTTGTAACAAAGGTCATCAGATTACGTCATTCAATAGTCTGACCATGTAGTATCTTGCCAACTACGGTAGCGTAGCTAGTTAGCTACAGTAGCTGCGTTTTTTTCGTCTTTACTTTTAGAAAATATTTCCAGAATTCTGTGCATAATCAAATCAGTGTGAAACCTGGTGCACACAACACCAAGGTTATTTTGCTTCTGTTACTATGTTATTTTGCCATATCTTTTTGAGAAGCGAATGTGGTAACTAAAGAACTAGTTAGCTATATCTAGCTAAGAATGAAACTGGTAGTCGTCTGGCTTCGTGGCTAGCTACGGCTGGTCGATGCAGTAGCAGTAGCACCAGCCCAGATGAACAGAGGCACACATTGGGTACCTTCGTTCACTAGTTACAGCACTTTGGGCCGAGTGAATAAAACTAGCTAGATAGTCCAAGCTTGAAAGCTGGTCTTACATTACCTGTAATAGCTTAACTAAGATAATAATGGTCAACTTTATGCCAGACCGAGATAAATGTTCTTAAATAACTAGCAAATATGTTATGAACGACTAGATTCTGTTCCTTTGCGAATGCACTCACACATACCCTGTCTGCAAGGGGGTCGTCACTTGTTACCACATCCACAAATGGCTAAACCCTGTGTATTTCTACAATGTATCTTCTTAAAAATTTATTTTAAACCTAACCCTAAATACACTGATAACCTTATGCCTAATCCTAACCGTAAATTAAGACTAAAAATCACATTTTTGTGATAGACAATTTCGACATTATGACTGTGGTAACTAGTGACAACCCTGCAAGGTCAGATGTATTGATGCTGATGGATACATTTTCAGCTAATGACTTAAATGCATCCGGTTGCTCAAAAGGCATAGAAGTATCTTTATATAATAAAACAAAAAAATCTGGTTCAATCAAGCACAGCTTCATTCACAAACACAGCATACATTTAGGCATCAAAGGCCTTTATCTCAACCTAGGCATGTATGCACCCTTCAACGTCACACCTTTGTCATGGTGAATTTGTATAGCTTTTTTTCAGGATAAGTATAAAAACAGGTGCTCCCAATGTTAGGCCAATGGTCAATTTCTTAGATGTATAGAAAGTATATGATATGGTAGCATTTTCACATCCTGTCACCATTAATAAAATATATGCCATTTAGCACATACATACATTTTTTACGTATGGGTGGTCCCCGTAATTGAACCCATTATCCTGGTGTTGCAAGAGCCATGCTCTACCAGCTGAGCTTTTTAACACTTCTATGTCCTCACCAGGTGACTGAGCTGAGCGAGCCTCTGAGTAATGATGACCGCAACCTGCTCTCCGTGGCCTACAAGAACGTGGTGGGGGCCCGGCGGTCCTCCTGGCGCGTCACCTCCAGCATTGAGCAAAGGGCCATGGCCGACGGCAACGACAAGAAGCTGGAGCTGGTGAAGGCCTACCGGGAGACCATTGAGAAGGAGCTGGAGACTGTCTGCCAGGACGTGCTCAACCTGCTCGACCAGTTCCTCATCAAGAGCTGCGGAGAAGACCAGCTGGAGAGCAAGGTGTTCTACCTGAAGATGAAGGGCGACTACTACCGCTACCTGGCCGAGGTGGCCACGGCCGAGAAGAAGACCTCTGCCGTGGAGTCCTCAGAGGGAGCCTACAAGGAGGCCTACGAGATCAGCAAGAGCATGGCGGCCACCCACCCCATCCGCCTAGGCCTGGCCCTCAACTTCTCTGTGTTCTATTACGAGATCCAGAACGCTCCCGAGGAGGCCTGCAAGCTGGCCAAGGAGGCCTTTGACGAGGCCATTGGACACCTGGACAATCTGAACGAGGACTCCTATAAGGACTCCACCCTCATCATGCAGCTGCTGCGGGACAACCTGACCCTGTGGACCAGTGACCAGCAGGACAGCGAGGGGGGAGAGGCCCAACCCTGAGACCACCTCCTCCTACTCCCAGATAGTCTTTAGCTAGAGTTAGCCACTCCCCTTCCCCCTGTTCTCTGTTCTGATCTTTCCTTCTCTATTCCCTCTATTTTCTTATCTCTTCCTAATCGCTCACCTCTTCTCTTTGTGCCATTATAATACTAAATGAAGGCCTCATCAGGAAGAATCTGTTCTCTAGTGGCCTGTTGTTTTGTCCTACATTCTCACCTCTTCCCCTGCTGCTGCATTCACCCTCATACAGTCCTCCTCAACTTTCTCCCTCTTCTCTGTCCTCCTTCAAGGCTTTCTGTCCCTGGCCCACTTTCTGTGCACTAGTGGTATTTTTTTATTTTTTATTCTACCTGTTCCATTCCCTCCCTTCTATAGTTGCTGATCATTAACTGAATGGTTGGTATTCAAGTGGCATTTCCACAGGATGTTCTCGTGAGGACAATCTAGTATCTATCATCAGGAGTGATGTCTGTAATGCTAATTAGGGAAAATGTTTCATTATTTTGCACAGCATAGTGCAAATGTCACTATTTATCAGAATGTTGTTGTGCTCTCCTCCTTGACTTGAACCCTTTTCTATGTCTGTCTGTTGTTCCTCCGCTCTATTTCCTGTCTATTGTCCTTTCCACTTTGTCCTATGACCTCTGTGTGCACTGCTAGCCCCTGTGAACGTGTTCCAGCCATCATTCCGTCTTGAAATGTCCGTCTTTGAATGTTGATGGGACAGTGTCTGGAGTTTTCAGTTGTGCAAGTACATTTGTTTATTATTATGAATAATGCGTGGTCATTAAAGAATGCCATTAAAATATTACCTACCATGGGAACTTATGTGGGTTTATGCCCTGTGCTTCAGAGTAATTTTTAATTGCAACGAATGGCCTTGATTTCTGTCTTCGTTATGCTGTTTATAGTTTGTGTGGGCGGGTGTGTATATGCTTTGTGTGCGATATCAAGATAGGAGCAATACAAGGGTATTGTAAGATCATACTGTGACATTGCAAATGTTAGATACCTGTAGACACTGACGCAAGTTTATGTGAACAAGATTGTTTGTAGCTGTGATTGAGATGTGACAGATATTATTAATTCTGTGGATAGCAGCACCTCATCACACACACTCAAGGAGGAATGACGGAGGAGGAGAAGAGTAATAATTAACCCATTACCTGTGTGTGTGTGTTTACTCTGTGGGTGAGGTAGTTTTGTGGAAAAAGTACCTTTTTGGTTTACTGACCTGAGTCAGAATTAGTTTCCTTGTTGAAATAAACCATAATATTGTGAGAGGTCATGGACTGGGCTTGCAGTCAACATACTATACTATAGCGATGTTCATTAACATACATTTAATGCTATTATTATTATTATTATACTGAACAAAAATATAAATGTAAAATGCAACCATTTCAAAGATTTTAATGAGCTACAGTTCATATAAGGAAATCAGTCAATTTAAATAAATTAGGCCCTGATCTATGGATTTCACATGACTGGGCAGGGGCGCAGCCATGAGTGGGCCTGTGAGGGTATAGGCCCACCCACTGGGGAGCCAGGCCCAGCCAATCAGAATTAGTTTCCCCCCACAAAAGGGCTTTATTATAGACAGAAATACTCCTGTTTCATCGGCTGGTCTCAGACGATCCCGCAGGTAAAGAAGCCGATGTGGATGTCCTGGGCTGGCGTGGTTGCACGTGGTCTGCGGTTGTGAGTCCAGTTGGACATACTGCCATTAAATTCTCTGGCAAACGTTCTAGTGGACATTTCCAGCAGTCAGCATGCCAATTGTACGCTCCCTCAAAACTTGATACATCTGTGGTATTGTGTTGTGTGACAAAATTGCACATTTTAGAGTGGCCTTTTATTGTCCCCAGCACAAGGTGCACTTGTGTAATGATCATGCTGTTTAATCAGCTTCTTGATAAACCACACCTGTCAGGTGGATGGATTATCTTGGCAAAGGAAAAATACTCACTAACAGGGATGAAAACACATTTTTGCACAAAATTTGAGCTAAATTATTTTTTTGTATGTATGGAACATTCCTGGGATCTTTTATTTCAGCTCATGAAACATGGGACAAACACTTTACATGTTGCATTTATATTTTTGCTCAGTATATTATTATTACTACTACTATAATCTCCTATTAAACATATCCTATTAAAGCCAATAAATCCTTCATAATTGTTGTGTTCTATCAGAAACCCACAATTGCTTTCCCTGTATGCTCTTTCTCCCAGGAGTCCTCAATTCACCCGCTGCCACAGCACTTTCACAGTTGACTAATCTACCTAGTCACCTACTTTCAGAGTTGTATCAATCAGCCCTTTCCATTAGGACTAGGGTTAGTGTAATTCTGATAATGGAGTGATATGCTTCCTAAAATGTTTTTTTTTTACAGGAATATGTTTCTTTCCTCCAGTATTTCCTGTTCAGTTGATCATTAATGACCCTTTGTTTGCCATTAAACACATTCTTTGATTTCTGACACATTTGAGAACAATTCAAACATGTATTAATATGTTTGCAATGCACAGACGCATTGGCACGCAAGCTGGCACACACCTTTTCATGGTCTCAAACACACGTACACACCTATACCTACCTTTGGGGTCAGTGGTACAGAAGCAGCAGTAAAGGAGAGAGTCTTCATCGACACACCTGTCCTCTGGTCACCTCTGCAGCTCAGAGCAGACAGAATGACACATGATTATGCTGGGTTCTCCTTAGTTAGGGATGTGTCTAACAATGGCCCTCAACAACCCGGGAGATATATCCGTCATTGTGATCTACTTTTTGGTTGTCCTGGCAGTCAGAGTATGGGTGAGTTGCTTAGTCTTTCCATTGACCAGTCTGCAAACTCGTAAACAAATCTGTCTCTATGAATATTTAACCCCTCAGTAATGATAAAGAGAAGAATGGCATGGTTTTAGTCAAATCTGAAGAAAAGTTGGTTTTCTCTATTCTGAATACGTTAAAGTCTAAGAAACCTTATTAAAAACAACTGGAAGCATCTGGATAGTGTTTCCATGTGTTTCCTTCTGAATGATAATATGACAAAGTCCTTAGATTTACAAAAGTAAAATATGTATTATGATATTCTACACTTTCGTTACAAAGTCATTAGATTTTATTTTATAACGATCCACATTAGCCGACGCCAATGGCAACACGAAAAAGACAAAGACAAAATACTTTACAATTTACATAGATTGCTGAAACTATCGGCCATAATAAAGCGTAGTGTGCTGTGATAAACTCTATCCAATGGCTTCAATACAGTGGTAGCTGCATTCACATAGACAATATCGCTATAGTTGTTTCGTATACTCCCCCTCTGGCCTCTAGGTCACCAGGTTGCTCTTTATTACGCACACCTGTCACCATTGTTACGCGCACCAGCGCCTTATCAGACACCTGGACTCCATCACCTTCCTGATTACCTCCCCTATATACAACTGCGGAAAAAATTAAGAGACCACTGCAAAATTATCAGTTTCTCTGGTTTTACTATTTATAGGTACAGTGAGGGAAAAAAGTATTTGATCCCCTGCTGATTTTGTACATTTTCCCACTGACAAAGACATGATCGGTCTATAATTTTAATGGTAGGTTTATTTGAACAGTGAGAGACAGAATAACAACAAAAAAATCCAGAAAAATGCATGTAAATTTTTTTATAAATTGCATTTTAATGAGGGAAATAAGTATTTGACCCCTCTGCAAAACATGACTTAGTACTTGGTGGCAAAACCCTTGTTGGCAATCACAGAGGTCAGACGTTTCTTGTAGTTGGCCACCAGGTTTGCACACATCTCAGGAGGGATTTTGTCCCACTCCTCTTTGCAGATCTTCTCCAAGTCATTAAGGTTTCAAGGCTGACGTTTGGCAACTCGAACCTTCAGCTCCCTCCACAGATTTTCTATGGGATTAAGGTCTGGAGACTGGCTAGGCCACTCCAGGACCTTAATGTGCTTCTTCTTGAGCCACTCCTTTGTTGCCTTGGCTGTGTGTTTTGGGTCATTGTCATGCTGGAATACCCATCCACAACCCATTTTCAATGCCCTGGCTGAGGGAAGGAGGTTCTCACTCAAGATTTGACGGTACATGGCCCCATCCATCGTCCCTTTGATGCGGTGAAGTTGTCCTGTCCCCTTAGGAGAAACCCCCCCCCCCCAAAGCATAATGTTTCCATCCTCCATGTTTGATGGTGGGGATGGTGTTCTTGGGGTCATAGGCAGCATTCCTCCTCCTCCAAACACGGCGAGTTGAGTTGATGGCAAAGAGCTCAGTTCTCCTCTGAATCATTCAGATGTTCATTGGCAAACTTCAGACGGGCCTGTATATGTGCTTTCTTGAGCAGGGGGACCTTGCGGGCGCTGCAGGATTTCAGTCCTTCACAGCGTAGTGTGTTACCAATTGTTTTCTTGGTGACTATGGTCCCAGCTGCCTTGAGATCATTGACAAGATGCTCCCGTATAGTTCTGGGCTGATTCCTCACCGTTCTCATGATCATTGCAACTCCACGAGGTGAGATCTTGCATGGAGCCCCAGGCAGAGGGAGATTGACAGTTCTTTTGTGTTTCTGTTGTCACCTTCTCACCAAGCTGCTTGGCGATGTTCTTGTAGCCCATTCCAGCCTTGTGTAGGTCTACAATCTTGTCCCTGACACCCTTGGAGAGCTCTTTGGTCTTGGCCATGGTGGAGAGTTTGGAATCTGATTGATTGATTGCTTCTGTGGACAGGTGTCTTTTATACAGGTAACAAACTGAGATTAGGAGCACTCCCTTTAAGAGTGTGCTCCGAATCTCAGCTCGTTACCTGTATAAAAGACACCTGGGAGCCAGAAATCTTTCTGATTGAGAGGGGGTCTAATACTTATTTCCCTCATTAAAATGCAAATCAATTTATAACATTTTTGACATGCGTTTTTCTGGATTTTTTTGTTGTTATTCTGTCTCTCACTGTTCAAATAAATCTACCATTAAAATTATAGACTGATC